ACCCGTTTTATTCCCATTGCAACAGAGGAGGACCGCCCACGCAGCCGGCTCCTGTGTTCTAGCTTTGTGGTGGAAACATCTTCAACCACTCAAAAGCAATTGTGTGCATTGTCCGGCAACATGTAGGGGCCTTGCGTACACGAGGACAATTGCAAAGTGATTTTAAATTTGATCTACTCAGTAACGGAGCAAGCTGTTTTGATTAATGCACTTAACATCCCCTTGCACACTCTTCGTACTGCTCCAGCGAAACCGAATTCCCTTGACTTCTCGGGGAGAGCAATAAACGCTGGATCCTTTCACAAACTCTGTCCTGCCTCTCCCTGCCTTAACGTCTGCTGACTGGTTTGGGAGACGTCGTCTTTGCTGGTGAAGAGCTTTCAGATCTGCTGATCTGGAAACTGCTCAGCTTTAACCAGCTTGATTTCCAATCCATTACTTAAAGCCAGTGTGGTGTGTTTAACGTGGGCCAGTCATCAGCGGAGTGCCTCACCATACGCATTTAAAGTAAAATCTCTCTCCCTTTTTCTTTTTAAATATACATTTTTAAAGTATTACATTACTTTTAAGAAGCCTCTTGGCATAAGCAGCGAGTGCCCTATTGTTTCCGAAATGCAACGTGGCTGCTCTGAGGTTAAGTCCTGAATTATGGGCCCAGCAAATACACTGAATTGCTGCTTCCTAATCCCTGTCCAGATTGACTTATGGTTTCTTTAAAATATCCGTTTCTTAATGGATAAAAACATTCTACCATGGGCAGAGACTAAATTGTTTCCAAAGGAAGCTAGGCAAGCATTAGTGGGAAGAAAACATATTGTGGGATTCAGCTTCAGCCTCAAAGGAAGGAACACGCTGAAGATGGGTTTCCTGCCTGCTCTCAGGCTCCGCGGGCTTCTGTGCCTATCTTTAAACTGCTTCTCCGCTCCTCTCGGTTGCATTTGCCCGCTGCCCAGTGGATGTCCCTTAAATGAATTTGGCATGTAACGGTCAAAGATGAACCACAGGCCAGTGCTGGAAGGGAGCATCCCCCGAGAGACAGTCCAAGTGCCCGCGACCGCGGCTTTTGCCACTGCCGTGCAGCCGCCTCCACCCCCCAGCCACAGCTCAGGGTGCCGAAGTGCTGCCCTTCCGACGGAATAGCAGGCGAGCGATATAACAGAAGAGCTTGCAGTGAGCCCGGCTGAATTTGCCTCGGGCTCCAGGGATGCCATCCTGCCTTTGACGTGGGATTTTCGAATGCGCTGGGCTGCGCAGTGCCAGATTCAGGCTGCCCATGGGGAGCACCTCCAGCCCGGGGGTCCCGCTGCAGGAGGGCACTGCCGGGCTGTGCGTGGCTGCGGCACAGCCCAGGAGCGGCGGAGCAGGGCTGGAGCCCCGTCTCCTATCGCCCCATCGGCCTCCCCTGTCAGCCCGCCGCTCCGCAGTGGGTTTCCCATGGCAGACTTGGCCTGGTCCAAACCTGCTCGGCAGGCAAGGTGGTCTAGCTGCAGGCTGGGTTGTAAATTCAGCAACTTCCTTTTATGTAGTCGGGGCTTGTTAATTTTTTTTAATACCCTTTGAATACAGGTAAAGAGCAAAGCACAGGCA